TCCCTCTCTCCTTCCTTATCCTTTAATCACTTTTTCTATTTGAACACCTGCTACCCTGCAAGTCCATCATATCATCTGATAAAGTAAGCTGTTGCTTACAAAAGCTCATGCATCTCTGAATTAGTGTAAGATAGAGGTGGGCAATTATTTGGGCTGGAGGGCCACTTAGGCAGATTGGGTGAGCTGTTGCAGGCTGGGTGGGGGCAGTGCTGACCCAGCATGGCAGCAGGGAGGGGTGCTGACCCATCCTGGTGTGGCTGGGTGGAGGGACAATTGATTCCATCTGGCCCAGGCCCATCCACTCTGCACCCACTGCCAGAAGCACTGGATGGAGTGGGCAGGCAGGGTCTCCATGGAGACCGTCCCAGCACCCCATGGGCAGGGCATGCTTGGCTGAATGGATGGGATGGGGCCATGCATGAGCAGGGAGTGGCATCTGGAAGTGGGACGGGTGGGTGGGGTCAGAGCTGGGACTGCAGAGCAGTGAAAGCGCGGGGCTGGGGCCGAGGATCTGGGACAAAGCCACAATCTGCTCCCTGCATGCCTCTGTGATGGGGGCTGGTTCTGCGGGCAGGGGTATGTAGGGAACAGATCATGGCTGTACCCCAGACCCTGGTCCCATGCTGTCACCATCCTGCGTTTCCAGCCCCAGTCCCTCCTGCCCATCTGTCCCTCTCCTGGCCACTGCTCCCACCCTGCGAGCAGCCTCATCCCATCTGCACAGCCAAGCACACCCTGCCCATGGGGGGCTCAGGCCAGTCTCCATGGAGACCCTGTCTGCCCACTCTGTCTGGTGGGTGCAGGGCAAGGTCTGACAGCGGCAGAAACACTGGCAGTAGCAGCCAGAAGAAGCTGCTGCCACCAGGGCTGCTGGGAAGCTAAGTCCAGCCGCCGCACCACCCCAGCCCCACTGTGCACCCAGAGACAGCAGGACTGGCCGCAGGCACCATGGCCCAGGCTGCCTCTTGCACCTGGGCCAGGCAGACCAGATAAAATCCTCTGGTGGGCCAAATCCAGCCCATGGGCTGGATTTCGCCCACCCCTAGTATAAAAAGTGCAACTCTGCCCTCTTCTGCCTAATCTATCACTTAATCAAATAGGTACAGGCAGACCCAGATGACCACCCAGAGTCCCAATGAAATCAGTCAATCCCTGCACAGCTGCAAGAATGCATATGGCTTCTATTAGATCATGAGGCCCAAACCTCCAGTAATTGTGAACTGCAAATACAAAATGCTGAACAACTGCATTACTTGGTACCAAGTCCTGTCTTGTTAACTAAAGCATGCGGTTGATCGGTAACCGCACAATGTAACTGTTAACTCTGCATGTTCCTGTAGTGATCCTAGTGTAGCAAAACCACTGCAATCAACACTGTTTCATTCAGGATTATATTTACAGTGATTTTGATCAACTGAATTACAGTTACAGCACAACAGCTGATACATACTCCTCCAATAGCTCCTTCCTTTCCAAGCAGTTAAAAGTTACTTTGTCCACAAGAGATTGCATGTTACTTTGGTAACACAGAGAGTACTTTAATAACACCTGACAGTCTGACTTGCATTCAAACTCTTGTCTAAATCTACTATTGGTCCAATAAAAGAACACCATAAGAAATCCTTGCCTCTTAACACACAAAGACATTTAGAAAGATATCTTTCCAAGCTTGCATAAGCAGTAAGAGATTTCCGGATCAAAAGGGGGCAGAACTTTAAGAGAAAGAAAGAAACTGCAGGGTGCATCTACATGTGCGATTAATTCAAAGTACGCTTACTGTGCAGTAAAAATACAGTGCAGTAAGCCTACCTGGGAGCATATCTACACATGCTCCTTCTTGGAAGCAGATTTGCTCACAATGGGAGTAGCCACTGGTACAGGGTTGCTCCTGCCCTGCTTGGCCCCACTGCAGCAGCCAGGGGAGCTCCTGACTTGCCCTCGGTGCTAGCCTGGGGGCTGGCAGAAAGCATGGGGCCGGTTCCCATATGCATGGAGCCAGGAAAGCTCTGCTGGCTGCAAAAGCAGCTGTCTCCTGGCCCCGTATACATCAGGAGTGGTCCTGATATGCACAGGGCAAGGAGACAACTGCTGCAGAGCTATCCTGCCCTGTGCACATGGGGAGACACCCTGCATCCAACAGGGGTTCCCCATGCAGCCTGGGGCTGGTGGGGACCTGTCTGATCCAGCTCAATGTGCTGCACAGGGGCTGACTGGGGCACGAGGGTGCTCCCAGGTGGGAGCCAGCAAGCAGTTCCCACACTGAAGCACGCTTGTATCCTGGGCAGCCCTGTTGGTATCTACACATGTTGCGGTCCACTAAATAATGCCACCATAGGATAGTACTTGTGGGTGTGTGTAGACAAAACGTTTGCATGACACTTTAAAGCAAGTGAAATGCTTTTGCACCGCTTTAATGGTGTTGGTGTTTGCATGTGTCAGCAGCGTATTGCACATTAATTCCAGCCACTGTAGCACATTCGGCGGTGTAATGCGCCTTAAATGTCTTTGAGGTGCAGCAAACTAAAACAGCTCCAAGGAGTTTTAGTTTGCTTCCCTACAGCTGTGGAGCGAAGCAGTGGGCTCCATGAAGCTTGAGGACTTTGCAGACAGCCTGAGTAGGCAGCCTGGGAAGGCAGGCTCCACTGAAAAAACAAGAAACAATGGCAAGCCTGATCTTTTTTTTCTTCCCCCTGGAGACTGCCTGCCTCCATGAGCAGCATGGTGAACCAGTCCTTCCCTCCGTGGCTGCAGTGTCCCTTGGGACCACCAGAGCTGGGTGCCTGCAGGTGGGTGTTGCCTGCGGGGGGGGGGGGGG